TTTTGATGAGGATTCGCTGAAACGCACTAACATGCTACGCAAAAACACAAAATCAAGTCAATATAATAGAATCTATAACTCAGTCGTAACAAAACACATAACTCAGCCACATAGTACACTAAACTCAGCCAACTAGTAAACACATAACTCAGCCACATAGTACACTAAACTCAGCCAACTAGTAAACTTAACTCAGCCTTAAAAAACGTAACTCAGTCACATAAAATTTATAACTCAGCCGTAAGGAATACTTACATCATCATGCAGCCATCCATATCTAGTGTCTTTCCACGGTCTTTCAGTGATCATGATTCTGTAAAACTCACCCTCATCGGTCGCTGTTGGGGTAGTGGCAGCGTCTTTATGTTTCTCTAGGTATTTCATAAGTTTATCCAATTTTGCTGGATCAACCGGTGCTAAAGGATCATATATTGCTGGTGAAGGTAATAACTTTTTCCTCATGCACGTCGTTACATTGTCTCCAATCTGAGGAAAAACTGGTGCATTATCAGAGAGTTGCAATGCAGACCCATTTGCAGATAACTGAGCATTTTTCTCCCGATATTCTTTTATTCTTTCGGATCTGATCCTATCCTCTTCATCCTCATCAGACTCCGGAAGCACTTCGTCTCGTGCTGCGAGAAATACGTCAGTAATATCCGCAAGCTCACTGTTGGCTTGAATCTGGTTCGGCTGAGGTACAGCTACTGTTATTAAACCGCGACGCGTCCTTTTTGCGACCGGATTCTGTAACTCAGCCATTTCTTTCTTCTTCAACTCAGCCGCCTTCTTTTCGTCAGCCTTCCGTTGCTTTGTCTCAGCCGCTTTTTTTTCTCCTTTTTACAGCCGCCTCCTTCTTCTTTAACGCAGCCTCTTCTTCCCTACTTACAGCCGTTAAGTTATTCTTAGGAGACACATCCTTCTTTCCTAACTCAGCCACCTCTCTGTCCTTCTCTTTAACCTCATATCCTTTTTGTTTAAACCTTATTACATTGTTCCCGCGTCCTAAGGCTGGATCCTTTGCGGGAGAAATACCAACGAAATCAACAGTGTCTCCCAAATTCTTAGCAGGTGTGCTATGGACAGAGGCCTTAGCAGGTGGACTATGGACAGAGGCCTTAGCAGGTGGACTATTGACTGACTGCTGCGGACAAAAGCTCGGCGGTGGCGGCGGTGGTGCTGGCAACGTTAAAGATTGTTGGGGAACTTTAGAGAAGTACTCGTCCACTGCAACTCTGACTAAATCAGGAATGTTCGTATAACTGGACTCCATTCTGCATAACCGCTCGTTGAAGTTTTCGAAGTTGGTCTCGTGGCTGTCTATTTTTGAGTCAATTCTATCCAGAGTATACATCATTTTCAACAGTATCGGATTTTGGCTAATATCATCCTTANNNNAAAAACCTCTAACAAACCGACCTGCATATATGTCTGTTATCAAGTTAACGAGTTGCGGGTCAGCTGCTTCATCCGGCCACTTAGGAAACATCTCTTCTACGGAGTCCTTCATAACCATTTTTCTCACGCGCACCTACAAAATCAGCCACCGAATACATAATAACTCAGCTGTAAAAGTACTAATATCTCAGCCACAAAGGACCAAAAACCCAGCCACCATGCAACAATATAAACACTATCACAGCCATCAAATAACTAATATCAAGAAACCCAGCCACTATGTACATACTAACTCATCCATCAAAACTAATACCAAGAGGCTGAGATATTGTTTATATGGTGGCTGGGTTGTTGGTGTTCATAAAACAACTAATAACTCAGCCACAAAATAACTAATAACTCAGACACTTTATACATGCTAACTGAGCCATCAAATAACTAATACCAAAAACCCCAGCCACTTAAGTACATAAGTACTTATAACCCAACCAACTAATAAATAATAAATCAGTTGACACGTTACCTCGCCATGTTTTCTAATCTCCTCAGTAATGACAGTATCAAAACTTGAACGTGTACGCTTTCCACCCCATCGTAAAAGTGGAACTTCTTGCTCATTGACCACTCTCCCAAAACGCTCCCCAAAACAAATGACAGATTCATACGCCCAAACCAACAACACGTCCTTCAGAACGCTTATGGTGTATGTCCTTCCTTGTGGATTCAACATCTTAATAGAGTCAACAAGAACTTCGTATGCAGTCCTCCCCCATGGATACGTCATCATGGCTTCATCGTCGAATACTCTTTTTGCACTTTCAAACGGTATCCTAGAATTATGATGCAAAGCATAAAGTCCCATGGTTTGAAGAAGTAACAGCCCTAACCATTTACGCTTTTCAAAACTCCAGGCCGGACATACCTCTAATGCTGCCCTCAGTTCATCTAACTTGGGTCCCAGCCCAAGCGGCAGATTCAACTCCTCCCAAAACGCTTTGTATTGGTCATGTTCAAAACTTTCTGTTGGCACTGGATCTGTATTTAACCCAGTGATCTCACCAAAT